AACATAGTTTACACTCTTAATGAATGGTTATCCTCTTGAATTCATCTTTTCAACAATAAAAAACAGAATTAAAACTTTAGAAAATAGAACGAATTTAGATAAAAATAGTGAGTGTAATAATAATGAAAGCGATTATAATTCTATTATAATTTAAAGAAAAAGTTTTTTATAATACCATATTTAAGTAAAGTATCGGAAAATATTAAAAAATTATCACGTAGTCAGGACTTTAATCATTTACAAACCTATAAACAAATTGAATAGATTTATTAAAATTGGAAATGATCCTTTATGTAAAGAGGACCATTGTGGAGTGGTTTATAAAATAAGTTGTTTAAATTGTGAGTCTTCTTATGTTGGTCAAACAAAAAGGAAATTAAAAACTCGAATAAAAGAACATAAAGCTGACATAAGAAAATCCACCTCGGAGATGTTAGTGGTTTCACGTCACCAGTTGAATGAGACGCACGATTGGGATAATATTAGAATTTTAGATACAGAACAATCATTGAAAAGAAGAATTTCTGAAATGATATACAAAAAGCCAAATAAGTAGTATCAATAATCAAAGTGACACTGAAGTTTTGTCCGATGTTTATCTACACTTAATAAATAATTCTAGAACAATTTAAACTTTTGATCTATATATATCATAAATAGTGATAACATATATGATATGACAAACAATAATACACAATGTCACGACGAATTTCCATCTGTGTAAAGGAAGTGCTTAAGATTCATCATTTTTTCTGTAAAACAGGTAATGATTCAATTCTCATACAATTCGATTATGAGATATTAATGATAGGTTAATTGTTTTAAATTACAATCTGGAAATTCTTGTTCTACATAATTCGCAGTATGACAATTGGCGCTGCAACATTGTTGTACCATGCACCTTCATAAGATGAAAGAACACGTTTATACATAGTTATATTACACGACGGTTGAATTTAATGTCAGATATATGTAATTTTGCATTTTAAAAATATTTGTGAATTTACTGAAGATAGCCAGATTGTGGCTGAAATGTCTAATGTTTTATTAATGTAATGATAATTATAAATATCAAACAATATCTGGTGCTGTGGTTTTATGCTCTTCTTTTCATAAGTTATAAAAAATTATATAAAAAATGTATACGATTATCTTTTCCTTTTTAATTCATAAAATATTAACAAATGATGGTTTGACATGTCGTGCATTTTGATTGTACTCGTATGGTTCATTTCTTTCCAAGTCAATTTCATCGAGATAAATATCAGGATTCGGTACGTTGAAATGTATAGCGTAGTTATGCAACACATAAACAGCATTCACTATTAAAGCTGTAAGAAATGAAAATATATGTAATACTAAAAATCCGCTGATCTATGAATAATTATATTAGTAACAAAAGCGCTTATCTACATTTCATTGTCCAGTTTATACTGAATATTATATATACATATATATATATATATAGAAAAATTTAAAATTATCTAAATCTAAAAAAATTAGATCGATTTCCTAATGACACAAATAATTATTCTTCTAATATTCAAATTGATGTTGATAAATTCTCACACAATATCCAATCTAAATTTGAAAGAATAGATATTAATCCGGATAATTTTAATGAGGCGCCTCCTTTGGCTACTCTGATGATGATAATTAGTTCATCAACTTGAGTGGCATTGACATTCCTTTAGAGGTTCAATACTTGTTACAACTCGGGGAAAAATTTGGGCTTTCTATCGACAAATATAATAAAGACGGTACATTGATTGAATTTATTAAACATATCGAGAACAATATAATTGATCATCCTAACAATGTTATTAACTTTGTTAGGAATAATTCCTTTCCATTACTCAACAGATTTTACAACAATTTTTCTTCTCCTACATTTACTGACAAACTGGTTTTTAAATGGTTACGTACAACCAAAAGATTTGTTGATAACCATCCCAATATTTTTATCACGAACGCCGATAAGGGTAATGTTACTGTTGCTCTAGACAAGGACGCATATCAAAAATGGAGGAGATTCTCTCAGACACTAACACTTATGCTTCTGTTAATAAAGATCCAAGTAGAAAATTGACTCAGGACTTACGCATTTTCTTGATGAGATGGAAGCGGGATCATTTTATTGACGAACAAACATATCGTAAATTATTTATTACTGATGGTGTTATACCTAGAGCTTACGGTTTGAAAATAAAATACATAAAGATGATAACCTGTTGAGAGTAATTGTTTCATCTGTCAACAGTCCATTATATTATTTTTCTCTTTTTTTACATAAATTGATTAGTGATAGTATACCAAAAGCTCCCAGTTAGATTAAAGACAGTCTCTATTTGGTTAAGCAATTAAATAGTACTGTTTTTGATCCTGAACCTGTATTGGCTTCGTTGGATGTAATATCCCTTTTTACTAATATTCCTGTTGAGCTAGCATTAAATAGCATTGATAGGAAATGGGTTCACATCTCGGCTAAGACAAGCATCCCAAAAAACGAATTTATTATTGCTGTTAAATTTATTTTAGATTCCAACCTTTTTTACCTTCAATAATATAACTTACAGACAGGTATTCGGCACCGTTATCTCCGATAATCGCCGACATTGTAATGTAAGATCTAGAAGAAACAGCACTTAAAAAATTGTCAGTACAACCTTTGTTTTATTTTAGATATGTGGACGATATTCTTCTTGCGCTTCCATCTGATGCTATCAATGATACTTTAAATATTTTTAACTCTTTATATACGAGATTACAGTTTACGTTAGAAGTTGGTACAAATAGCATTAAGTTTTCTTGATACAATGCTTGTTATAGATAATCAGAGAATTATATTTGACATTTATCATAAAAAGACCGGAAGATTCCTTAATTTCCATTCATCCTCTTTGCCATAAAAAAGGCACTATCAGTTTCATTGATAAAATTATCCTATTATCACATCCACGGGTCCAACAAAAAAATTTGATTGAGGTTATTCATACTTTTTTAAACAACTTTTATCCTCTTTCCTTTATTTTCTCTACAATTGAAAGTAGATTAAAATTTCATATACATAATAAGGATATTACACATTATTAACGTGAGAAAGACAAATATTTTCCTTATGTCAAATCTATTTCTGAAAGTTTCCTTCCTATTTCTAGTATGTTTCATTGTAAATTAACCTTTTCTATTCTCAATACATTAAAAAGCTTTATAAAGAGAGGAAAAGATAAGCTTGATTTCCTATCCAATCAGAATGTTGTTTATAAGATCTCCTGCGATGATTGTGAGGCGAGTTATGTTGGTCAGACAAAAAGAAAATTGAGTACGAGACTACGCGAACATATCTCTGACATTAGAAAAAATACGGGTTCTCCTACTGTCATAACTGATCATCGAATTAATTGTAATCATAATTTTAAATGAAACGATGTGAAAATTCTAGATTGCAAATCTTCTTATAATAAGAGATTGGTGTCTGAAATGATTCATATTAAAAAACAGAAACAGGATCTGAATAGACAAAAATGACACCGAATCTTTACCTGAAACCTACTCACAGATCATCCAATCTCTTTCTCCTTTTTAATTGCTTTCCTTCCTTTATCTATCTTTTTCTCT